ATATACAAGAAGTCGCCTAACACAGAGCTTCGTGAAGATTTGGGTCGTAGTTAAGTATATTTCCAACCATTGATGTTTGTTTATGTGAACAACTTGCTTAACATGATAGATGCGCAGTCATCAGTATCATCCACTAATTAATGGCATCTACGAACGCGGACGTGAATGTTACGACAATGCACTGCGTCGCAGATGAGCAACTCTATATCTCTACATCTATATATCTCTATATCTGTATACACTCCATATCTTCTATATCTCTAACACTATAATATTATATATATATATCGAGTATATATCTTATTATCTATATATGCTATGACTAATACTATATTATTGGCATACAGCCCTCACAACAAAACTAAGCAATCGAGTTTTTGGTGCCATTTAGAAACTCACTCCTCGTTAACACCTGGTATATATATTACGGCATTTTGTAATAGTAACACACCTACCTCATTGTGCTGCTCCTTGCACCAGGTTGAGGGAAAGGTCAAAGGATCTTATATGGTGGTACTGCCGTAGGTTTTCAATGGTCGAGGGAACTTTGTAGACGCATCTCGTGTTGTGCGTCAACAGCGTCTCTGTTAAGTATTTTACTGCCATCGAGGCAGCATGTGCCGTGTGAAAATTTTCGGTAGCAGCACCGGATATTATTACCCATTGGCATCATGGATCACTGGTGAAGAATCGTCTTCATTAGCATGGTGACGGGATGTTTATGTTGTCAAAGTGGCAACTGTATGTACTTGCGAGTTGAGCTGTCATATGAGTTGGTAATGACCTTGCTCAAAGTTGTGACTATCTAGAACATAATGAGATTCGAGCTGTTTAGTTAAAGAACTTCTGATTCTGTTAACGAACTGAAACGTAAGCTGTAATCAATCTTATTATATTGTTGAAGTTGTGTCGTGTTGAGGACTATCTATTCTATTAACTATAATATATATAGTATATTATATTCAGAGAAGAAGAGAGAAAATGAGAGGAAGAAGCGAGAGAGAGAGAGAAAGAGGAGAAGAGAGAGAGAGCTAGAAGAGGAGAGAGAGAGAGAACGAGAGAGCGACGAAAGAGAGAGAGATGAGAGAGAGAGAGAGAGAGAGAGAGAGAGAGGCCGATGAGAGAGCAGAGATGAGCGAAGAGAGAGAGAGAGAGAGAGCGAATGAGTGAGAGAAGAGAGAGAGATGAGCGAGAGATGGAGGAGTAGAGAGAGAGAAGAGAGAGAGAGAGAGAGAGAAAGAGAGCGAGAGAGTCAACATTTAATAGTTTTAACAGGTGTTTAAATAAGATAAGCCCTGAGTTTTGTACGCCAGATCAAAACGTCTACTGCATGGCTATAATTATAATACAGTTGCAAAATAAAATGGACTAACGTCACTACATAACTTTGCCTCGACATCCGTGATAAAATAGCCAATGTTCCAGGGAACCAGTCGTTGTGTTACTGCTATCGATGGATTAGAAAAATTAAATGACTGTCCTATTAGTCCGTGTTCCTATTAAATATTGTTAATTGGTCCCTATTAATCTTACTGAGCAGCCCGTTGTTTGTGTATTTTACCCAACACTCTCGTTGACGACACATCGGTACGTATAGTATGCAATCCTGCGCTCTTATATTAAACTCATGACTGACTTTGCAACAGAGTTTGTCTATACTTCCTTGGGTTTGGCTGCCCTTGTGTCAACAGGTCTGACAGTTTCAGAGGAAGTACACAATAATGCCGACGTCACATAGGAAATGCCTGCCGTTTATGTGTACAGTTGGTTTTGGGCTTAGGCCCTACATCACAAGCTAGCAGCCGCATGATAGAATGAAATCTATCGTGAAAGCACAACACTGGGAAGGGTTTGATATTCGTTTATACGAATAAAATGAGTCCGTTTGGTCAGCATTTCGCCTCATCCCTGTCTAGAAATGTACGCGTCCCCTTTATGAAATTGAAATCAATTAATTGTTGGGATATATTTTCACACACACACACACACACACACACACACACACACACACACACACACACACACACACACACACACACACACACACACACACACACACACGCGCGCGCACCGCGCGCGCGTGTGTCACGCACGCACGCACGCACGCATCGCACACATCAACACACACAACACACACACACACACACACACACACACACACACACACACACACACATTGTACAGCGATCCACCACGATTATTCTGTTTAACGTTGTCATAAAAGGTACACAGTCAGTTCCAAACAAACTATGCAAAGGGAGTGGTACGTTTCCATGCACAGCTATGTATACTCGGTATAAACGCAGCCACAATACCCATAAACACGCGTAGGGTTGCAAGTTGTAGTAACTATATAGGCTATACTTAATTTTTTTAGTGAGTTTATCCATAATTAGTTCATCTTCTAATATACACGTTCATCTTCTAGTATACGTGGTAATTCGTGTTAATAGAATGTCTACAGTAATATATCTATAGGCTTGCTAGGGAATACCCGGGCAATTATGCCACATACAACTGAAAAAAATAACAAAATTGCACCAACATAAAGTAACAGGGGTTAATAAGGACAAATTGTCATTTGTCATTATTAACCCATCTCTATACACGCGACTGTACAAACCTCAATGGGCGTGTATTCGGTCAATTATCACAGCATGTAAATAAATACGTCAAACAAATAAAATGCTATACTAGCTGGTCACATTTTGCAGTACGCCGAACGATTTGCACCGACAAGGTTTTACTCACGGTTGCTATACGTCTGTCCAAAGTACAGATATCAAAGTACAGATATCAAAGTGCTTTATGTTATAGCGTCTCAATGGCATTGCTTCGGGTTGCGTGTGTGGAGATTCCCATATCTGTCTGCCGGCCACACCTGTGACAGATCAAGGAAGTGACAAGCATGTCTGCAGTATCGCGAGAACGAGGAAGTGGCACGCAAATCTGTAGTATCCAATAGGACGCACGTCGAAAGTCCAACTTACGCGGTGTAATATATAAATTGCCCCTTACTAGCTTTAGCCACTCGCGAAACTTAAAAAACTCAGATTAAATTCGCTGTTTGAATTGCGCGAGTTTGATATTATACTCGCCATCTCGAGTTACTCTAGCTACTTTTACCTCTCACTAATACTTATAGCTACACTGTTAATCTTGTAATTCGCTGTTTGAATTGCGCGATTTTTATATTATACTCGCCATCTCGAGTTACTCTAGCTACTTTTACCTCTGACTAATTATAGCTACACTGTTAATCTTACAGGCATTTAGGGCAACCACAGTCAGGGGTGATAACACCGCCTACGCTATAGCAAACACGCTGCAATCTAAACACCACCACCTATTAAACTGCTTGCGTGTTATAGCCTTGCGTGCTGTCAGTGTTATCAAGAGCTAATAATACCTAATAAGCCTAAAATACCTAATAATACCTAATACCTAAGAGCTAATAATCAAGAGGTATTATTAGCTCTTGGTGTTATGTACATTTACCGCTGATAATACCTACATGGTGTAACAGCGAGTCAAAAACCTGCACAAAATTCTGTAGTGGGTGTAACTGCTCGGTACCTAGTCATACACTTTAACCTAAGAGAGTGATAACGTCCATATATGACCATTAGAAGTAGATAATAGGGAATTTTCCATATTTAGGATAATAGGGATCGAACATTCCGCATATCTACTTCTGATAACCATATATGTCGTGCAAGCAAGCCGCGTGGTAGGCGGGCGGTGACGTCAGCGTTGCTTACGGCGTTACTACGCGATGCGACGGACGCGCGTTGAGTCGTCTGTGTGATTTGACCTGTCTCCCTCTACGCGCGACACCGGTAAGAGGGGGGAGGGTCCGTTTTATTTTGCTCAACACTATTGCATTTATCAGATTTTTTCTCCATGAAAAAGACTGTCTTCCGTACATGTACATGTATTTGAATTACACGCAATAAAGATTTAATAATAATAATAATATTTTAGTCGCGATTTTCATGAGCCACTTAGGTCATCTGAAATCAATGCAGATCCCGGGGGCGTGGCGTGGGCAGTGGGTGAGAATAGGAGTAGATAATAGGGAATTCCTTATTATCTACTCCTGGAGAGACGTAGGTTCCTATACAACGCGTGACAGAAACAGACACGATCGACACAGCGTGCGTGAGTGCGTCGTCGTTGGATTGCGGTGCGAGAGCAGGAGAAGCGGGGGAAACGAACTGCGAGAATAGATTGATTCTCTTTTACGGTGCGCGATGGAGAGAAGAGTGACTCGGAGGGTTCGGTGATAGAGAAGATGCGGCAGTATTAGAGCGTAATTAAGGAGACGGATAGAACCGACGTAGCCGGAGTTAGATTTTGAGAAGAAAAGCGAGTGAAGATATAGGTATATATACTATATATATATATAGAGAGAGAGAGAGCAGAGAGAGAGAGAGAAGAGAGAGGAGAGAGAGAGCGAGGAGAAGAGCGGAGATGAGAGAGAGAGAGACAGAGAGAGAGAGGAGGGAGAGAGAGAGAGAGAGAGAGAGAGAGAGAGAGAGAGAGAGAGAGAGAGAGAGAGAGAGAGAGAGAGAGAGAGAGAAAGAGTACATTTACTGTTTTTTACTCACTCTCATTTAGTGAGACAACTGTCCCTTGCTCCCAAGCAGATTATCATATTTCTTAATGAATAAAAACTACATTCAGTAGAGTAGTATTTGAATTATATCAGGGGTAAATAATCTCAAAGGAGTTTGCCACGTATTTGCCCTCGTGATTATGAGTCTCCTGTGAGATTATAATTCTATTCCTGATTATATGCAATAAAGAGTTAATGATAACAATAATCAGGGTCGTCTTAGCAGTAAGTGCTCGGCTTTGTTCTTTGCCGTGTCTGATCAAATATATAGAATAGAGATACTGAGCTATAAATTTTTATTCTTTCATCAAACGCTTTTTCCCAAAGTCCAAATGTCCCTAAAAATGCCGAGAGGTGGCAGTAAAAATGTAACAACAGAACAGTCATAGCCGATTCTTTGAGTTTTGATGGAGTATGTGCATGTAGTTATGTACACTGTAGACGCTGTAGTGTAGTCTGTAGACAGACTAAACTAGTGTAAACTGGACTAGACTAAATTGTATATAATTTTTGTAAGTGTATACCATTACAAAGGTATGTACTAGCTTTGTTATAGCTGTTAAAGTGACATTACTTTAGTCATTGACATTTGCATGCAGTGACCAGGTCCAGTGTCACTGGAGACAAGTGAATCGGTGTCTTATTTGTTTAAATTGTTATCAGATGAGATACATTGATTGAATATATGAATATGTCACACATCCCGAACTACCGTCTACACGAATCCCGAAACAAATTATTGTGCCCAGGAACTTTCTATAATTTGAGACTAGTATTCGACCAACACTTACCAGTGCTCGAAATAAGAAAAAAAATGTGGTTGTCCTGCGGACAACCCAGGCATCAAATCGGGTTGTCCGCAACAATTTTTGGTTGCCCCCAAAAAATATCCACAAATCTCCTATTTTCAATCACATAATAATATGGTCAGAAAACACCCAAAAACACTGGTGTAGCCAGGATTTTTTAACAAGAGGGCCAAAAACAGTGAACTGCGCAAAATAGTGGATGACTTAATATTTTAATGGCTCTCCGCCTCCCTCTCCATACCCTACGGCTCCTCTACCTTCTCTGCAATCTGTTTTGGGTGTCATGAGTAAAGGCGACATTTTTGTTCATTGTTC